AAGTAAAAAGTAAAAGCATCCTGCAGCACAGCTCAGTGTAAAGGTCCTCGGTTCAGACTTCAGCAATACAAACAAGTTTTTAAAAAGTCAAGGCATGGTAGTAGATACTTATAATCTCAGCATTTAGGAGGCCGAGACTGGATGATGCAGAGTTTAGGCCAGTCTAGACTACACAGCTAGATGGAAGCCAAGCAGAGCTATACAGAATAAACACAAACACACCCAAAATAAACAACAAAAGGGAGAAAGCGAGAGAGAGAGAGAATGCGTGAATCAAGGTACAGTGGTTAAAGAGTGGTTCCCCTATAGTGAACCAAGTTTGTTTTGGGTGCAACCCCCAGATAAAAAGAATATTGTGAAAAAACATCTTACACAATGTAATTGCACGACAGGAACTCTGAACCGGAACTGCATTATGGTCCAAATAGTTTAAAGTATCTCCCCAGTCTCAGTGCTTATACATTTGTGGCCTGGACTGCACCGTGTCACCACCTGGAAGTCTTCAAAATGCAGGGAAGTGACTTTAAAGGTCTGACTGTGCACTGAGCAATTCGTTGTTCGGAAGCTCTCACAGATGATTCCAAGGTTCTGCCAAAGGTAAGAGCTTGGTGCTCTTGAATTAAGAGATGTACCACTAAGACTTACCACTTTGAGAATTTTAGGTAAGTAAGAAATAAGCTTACAGATGTTATCTATAAAATAAAGATGGTGACCTATTCTTTAACCTCTTGACCTAGACCTAATGACCAGTTTAGAGGAAATGCATGTTAATAGACACCACAGGGGTGCAATTGGTAGAATCCAAGCTGCGGGAAAAGTCTTATTTCTTAAAAATTAATATTAAAGAAAAACAAACCGTAGGAGGGGAACTTATATTTAGAGAGACTTAAGACACTAACTCCAACACTGGGTACTTAGATCCTGACACAGAAAACAAACTGTCAAAGAATTTGTGTTGTAGATATTTAAAAATTTTTAAGACACTTGATAAAAGGTAAACAGAAGAGGGATACAGATGAAATATACTAATAAGGCTGAGTAACTGGTATATGTGATTTTATCATACAAATAATCTCTCATTTTTCTGTATTTATCAAACAAGGCACTATCATCAAGAAACAGTGGGTGGCAGGAGGCATCTTACCTGCTCCCCAGGACCTGCGTGACTTCACAGTTAAAAGACAGAGGAACAGTGCACAGGAGTCCCTGCAGAATTCAGAGCCCACAGAAAGCAGTGCCCTCACTGCCCACAACCCCCCACCCCTACTGATACAATAGGGGGACAGAGTCCAGAATAAGCAGTCCCTTTTCAATTGCAAGGGGATGGTATGAGGGAGCCAGTAACAGCACAACTGACTCGGGGTGCTACACCAAAACACACTGCATTTACTATGGGGAAAGGTTTCTGGGGTCACCCTGTGCCTTGGTTGTTTGAAAGCCTCCTCTCTCTCCAGTAGCACCAGGCATGTGCAGTGATCTAGCATGGCTCCTCACAAACCTCAGATTCACCACACGGTCTGTGCAGGAGACACTGCCTATGACAGGAGGGCAGAAACACGTTCCACGTGGGTGTGTTTCCCTGAACCTTTCCAACTGCTTGGGAATTACTCTGGAGTATGCTCGAAGGTCCACACGCCTCACCAGCTGAACCCTGTGGACATTTAATTGGTAAACACACTTTTCTGATGGTCCACCTTCTCACTGGAATTCACTACACAAACTCTTAACACTATTCTTTCTTTATGCTGTTCTCGTATTTGTAATTCTTAAATTCCTGCCTTTTCTAATGATATTTAACAACATAATCAGAGGTCTAGTGCACATTTTAGCAGTCTGGGGTACCCTCCAGAATTTATAAATGCTATGACACAGCTAAGGGTAATGATTAGGTTGACATTGGAGCTGCAAAGAATCCACAAACAGTTGAAGTACTGGGGAAAATGATCCAGGAAGAACCTTAAAAAGGAAGATAAATATTTTCATATTATCATAGGATACAGAAAAGTTTTGCTACTGTTGTGAATGTGCACTAGCAGGAAAACAGATAAAGGAAACAAATTTAGAACAAAGACTAGTGTAAAATGTAAAATGGCACAGAGGCTGAACTAGCAATTAATTCTAATTTCGATAGACCATGAGTTTATAATTATTTACTATGTACATTATGAGAACTTATTTTAGGATAAAGACCAACTTTTAAAGATAAAAAGCTTTATACTATTTTAACCTATGCCCAAATTTATTAACCAGCCCTATAAATAGTTTGAGGATGAATGGTTCACTGGTAAACATTTCTTAGCTCTGAGGATGGAGTAAATGGCAGGGAGCGGGAGAAGAAGGGAATGGAAAGGAGGTAAAGGTAAATTTCTCACATGTAGGCTTCCCCAGTTCACCCATGAATTTCCACTTAACAATAAACATCCTCTAAGCCTCAGGGAAAAGAAAGTAAAAGGGAATTGAGCAGTTATTTTAATCGGACAGACCCATACCCAGATTAGTCAGATAATAAATTCATCCTAAATCCTAAGACACCTAATAAATTCATCCTAAATTCTAAGGCACCATTCTTAGGGAGGAAAAATTTTAATCATTTGTCATTTTCAACTCCAGCCAAATTCTTTTCTGAAGTCATTTTAACATTTGAAATTACTCTCTTACTGAAGTAAGTATTCAGTATTTAACAATTATTTTTTGTTATTATCCATTAGGCACTAAACACACACTACATTAGAGAAATGTAGTGCATAAAATATAAGTCACGGTAAATTTTCCTAGCAGCTATATTTAAAAGAGTGAATATATTTTAGTCTTTTATTTAACCTAATATATCCAAAATACTGTCATTATAAAACTACGATTCTTTTCTCTTTCAATTAAGTTATTAAAATTCAGTGTGTAATTTTACATGATAGCACATTTCAGTTATTCTGACATTTTAAATATTCAGTATCTGTATGTGGCTAGTGCTGACTGTATGTATTAGAAAAATAGAATTTTACACTACAACACATCTTAAATGTTAAATTTCCATAGGAAAAACCTTAACTTGTTTAGATTTACATCACATTTAGATTTCATATTTGTAACTGAAAAAGATCATATATACAAATTGTTCTTCACATTTTTCTAACTGACCTAAAAACTGAATCAATCAATTAATTTCTGTTTTGAAATTTAAATAGCCCTGTTTTAGTTTCATTAGCCACAGTTCAACAACTTGCTGGACACAAACAGCTAGCAGTTCTGCTCCCCGACAATGCAGTGAAAAGTTCACAATAGTAACATTTTTTTCTCTTCGACAATTTGGTTCAAGCCCACAGCGTGCTTTTCTAATCTAGAAAATATAATCTGCAAAATCTTCCACAGAAATTTAAGCAGTTTCTTTGAATCTACAAAACAGCGGTCTACTAGTTTCGAAGTTAAATGCTCTGACCCTGAGAGAAAGTGCTCACTTCCCTTTCTTAACTGAAGACAGTGCTCTCTCCCTCCTCCGGTCACCTACAGTAGAAACTCCTCCCTAACCGTCACTAACGGGTTTGTCACTAACCCTAACCAGCAAGTCAGTACCCTTCTACTGTAGTTCGTCTCGTTCTCCACCTCAACCACTGTCGTTTTAGTACAGGTGCAAATCTTGGGTAATCCCAGAAAGCTCATCTTGAAACACAGCTCAGGAATTCTCTCTTTCTCTCTGATTTACGTGTCACCACCCATAGGACTGCCACCCAGAAGGAGGTGTGGGACTATCTCCAGAGCTGCTCCACCCCCGCAGCTCCCAGGGACCTGAGGTCTCACAAGGTTCCTGCGCCTCCCTTCTGCCCACAGGGGGCTGCAGCACACAGCACATCCCGCGCCTGGCTTCTTCATTCTGCACATTATCTGTAAGATCCATCCATGCCATCACTTGTACCAGTAGATCCTTCCTTTTTACTGCTACCGTGTTTGAAATTTTATGAATATTCCAAAACATGGCCCTTTATTCTCCTACTGATGGGCATTCAGGTTCTTTCCAGTTTTGCAATATGATACATCAAGTTGGTAAGGAGATTAACGTTAGGTGCAAGCATTAAGGGAGCTCAAAATAAACCTTCAATATGTTTCTACTTTTTTCCTTCTACTACATAGGAATTGCAGTAGAAACGGATGTTTTATGTACTACACAGAATGAAATTACAGACATTCCAAAACAGATTCACATTTTAAACAAAAGACATACCATGTATATGCGGGATCATTATACATGTTAAGTGCATGCATAGTAAATTCGTATCACATAAACAACCACAAACATTAACCAAACAGATGACAAAATCTGATTCCATTTATTGTTACATTTTAGTATCTGCTCTATATTTCTAGTACATCAAGAAAAGATTAAGTCCAGCAAGAACAAAATATATATTGTGATTTTACCAGCCCAACAGTGAAAAGCAAGTAAAACGAGACAAGGCAATCTTAAAAGGAGTTACCAAATGCTTCCTCAGTATTAATTTGACTACTTATACAAGTTCATTAAATTTCAAACCAAAAAGTTCTGTTACTTCCTAAAATTAGCACCAGCTTATTTCCCTAACATTATTACTGCTAAATTCAAACTGCAACAAGGCACAGGCTTAGAAGTTAGAAAGGACTGCTACTTTGCCTGCAGGTGACTGCTGAGGTAATACTAAGGTGAGCTGAATCTTAAATGTTTCAGGACAATATAACAGCAATTAGTATCATTTCTTTCTTTGCTACAGTGTTACTCTTTTCTAAACAAAATATTTTAAAATACACTCAACAAAAGTCATTTTATTGCTGATAGGTTTCTAGTATTATAAAGCAAAATGGCAAACAGTATGGAAGCTACTACGAGACAGTTGTACAAACACACATGTACATGGAGAAGAACTTGACCTTTAAAAAGCACTCTTCACTCCAGTGCAGAGATTCTATTTTCATTACTATAAAGTCATAAACTCATACAAAGAGGCTGGACGAAACCTTCCTATTTTTCTCCTTACCTCCCATTCTCTGGCTGCCACTTCACTAGTAGGATCCTCATTTGCTTCAGACGCCTCGATCTTTTTTACTACTATGAACCCAGGTTCCCTGGTGCATTCACCAGTGTCTTCTGCATAGATTTCTGGGCTCCACTGAATGAAGAAGGCATACAAGTGGTCTGTCCTGTTAGAACAAGAATCTGTCAGAACTACTATTCTGTATCAGTCACAATTACAAAATTACATTTGTGAAATACCTTGATAAAAATGGAGACTTAAATATACAAAAATGTACTGCATTATATAAAAAGATAGAGCCCATTAGATAGAAGACCTTAATAAAACAGATTTTATTTGGCTGTGATTGGGTTGTTTTGAAAAACTGTATAAAGAGTTCCCTTGGCATGCTTTTGACTGGGTCAGATCTATCTCCAGAAATATTTTTCCTTCTTATAAATACTAGTGAGGGGAAAAGAAGTTGAATCTACAACTTCAACCTCAGTCACACAATGATCTAATAATTAAAATATAAGCAAACAATTACTAGCTGCATATTTTGAAACTTGAATATTGTATTGAATTTTTCCAAGTTAACAGAAGCTTAATTTCCTTAAATTTTAAATGGTACCAGGTGTACATACTGAATTACTGGTTCAGCGATAGGTAATCTCATCTTTTAAATTTTTGATCCCTTTCCTAATGTCTTGTTAACTACAGTAAAGCCAGAGATTGCATTCTCTGGCAAACATTTTTAAAGGCCAAACACACATCTTAAATGTCTATTGACTTTAATTACAATAATTAAAAATTGATTAGAAAATTCTCATCTAATATAAAACAATAAAGGTGGCTCTGTAAATTATATATTCAATCTAATGATTTAAAAGAAACATTGGGGGTCAGGGATATAGCTCAGTGGCACAGGGGCCTGCCTGGGAAGTGTGAGGTCATGAGTTCGATCTCTGCTACCTGCCCCTCAAAATCATTGCTTATGTGATAGCTTACATATTTAAAGAGCATTAAATTTTTATCCTGCAGATAATTTATCACTATCAAGAAAATTTTTCATAAGTTACAGGAGTACAATAAAGTTCAGAATTCTAATATTAATTTTTAGTGAACATCAGCAAGGTTCAATGATAATATTAAAAACTATGTAAGAGTTGAAATATAAACAAGAGTAGTAAGAAAAACTCACTATGGCTCGAATTTTTCATTTTTGCCATTTAAAGACAACCAGCAAATTTGATTATTTGGTTTCATCCCTTTAAGCATTTAATTATGTAAATCATACTATCTATTTTTTATAATTATCACATGGTGTAGGAGGCACACACAGTGATTCATATATTTTGGTAGGATAGGAAAAGAGGGAAAGAATCATTTTATGCTCAAAAGTAGTATCCAAAGCAGCACATAAAAGCTTTCCAAGTGTACATGGACTCTTCAGCTCTAGAGGAATGAATTCATTCATACATCCTCAATTTTCACATTAGTCTCTGCTCAAACTAATCTGTAGGGTCAAGATACTGAGTAGATTCTATTGTTCTCTGCTTTTGTTACGTGTTTTTCCTAAGCTGTAGAGTACAGCAAGCTCACCCATTCAGATTTTTATAATGGTACATGCCTTAGAATATAAACTCTTCCAGGCTGCCCAAGACTGGTGTAGGAGTAGGGAATAATGGTAAGACTGAGTAATAAGCTCTTTCCTCAAACTTAAGTTTTCAATGGAGTTGTTCACTGATAATCAGAAAAACTGATTTGGTAAAAGTAAAGTAATTTTTTGGATCATATACAAAAACACATTTAAATAACTGAGGGATATTAAAATAAAATTCTTCTTATGTAACTGACTTATTAACAAAGCTTCTCAGTGCTTGAAAAAACTACAACAAAGGAAGGGGTAGAAGAGATGCCGAATTCTATCTCACTCTTTCAATAGACAGCAATCATCAATGGATGGCTGCATTTTCTGTCAGCACACATCAAACTGAGCCAGGCTGACTCAGGAGCTTACTGTTCTGACAGCAGTAATCAGAAGTTGTACAATAAATGCAAGTTCAGAAGACTTACACACAAATACATGAACCCATAAGTATAGGTACTTTGTGACAAAGAATGATTGTAAGAGATTAAAAATATTTTATAATTACACTCTGTGGGTAGGTGTAAAGGAGAATACAAGTTTAAAACTAACAAGTAACAATGCTGTTTTTAACTGCTGAAGAGTACTTCCCAGTTGTTTTTTAAGGAGATAAGGAGAGAACTGTTATGATGTTTGGATTCTACTGGGTATGCAGTATTTAAAAGATCAACAGTTTTAACCTACCATGTCAATATTTATAATACAACAAAAATCTTTTACAACTGCTTAAACATACAATGTAAGACTTTATTGTGACGAGGGTAAACGAGAAATACCTTGGGGACCATCGCAACCTTTTAGTAGCTAATTTGGGATCATACATACAGTAGGCAATCAATATATTTGAAGGAATTTAAATAAAGAGATTATACATCATTGACTGTCTTCAGAAAAATGCCATAATGGTCAACATTCTGACGGTCTTTTCTTTCTTTTCTTTTCTTTTTTTTTTTTTTTGTGGTACTGTGGATTGAACTCATGACTGCGCACTTACGCCGCTGAGCTAAATCCCCAGCCCCATGATGGTCTTATTTTAAGCACTCTTTTTCACTACTAAAATCTGGTACACATTCACACTTTTTTTCAATATATCACAATGATGCAATTATAAATGGAACAAATCAAAAAGGATCAAATGCAAGCTAAATCCTTTCAACATCTCAGATTAAATGTCAACTTTCAATGAGAAAGCATATAACTCAAAATAGTATTTTGCTACTGGTATTATGATATACAAAATAATTCTATCTCAGGAAACCTTAAGACAGTTTCCTTTCCTTTCAGTTTTTACCTTTCCTGGGGCACGGCAAACCAGTACTCATGCTTCTTGTCTCTCTGTGCATACTGCTGCATTGTAGCACTTGCCTGAGACACAAATGTCTTCCTCATTGGTTTCCCAACTCTGAGACATAAGAACTTATGCAGCCGATGTCTCCTCTTTTCCTTTAGAAATGCAGAACCTACACAGGCAAACAGTGCTCATTCAATTCTCATACACCGTGGTGAAATTCACTAGTAATTTTAATTCTAACTTCTAACCACAAATAAAAACTCAATTTTTACTGGTATCAAACGAATTTACTGAAATTACTTGTATTATTTTCCATAAAAAGATATAGCAAGACTAAATGAAAGACAATAGACTAGGACTACTATGAAAAATGCAAAAGCTTCCAGAATCTAATTAAATTTTTGTTTATAACAACTATGCTAATTGGCTATATAGAATTTCTGCATATTCTCCATCAGTCTTCAGACTTCTTAAAGGCATATTTTAATACAGTTTCTACAGCAAGAACGACATTTCTGAAGCTTTCACATATAAAAAAATGTATGACAAATCAGTCAACAGTATGTTTGGACAATCTGGTTGCACAGTTAATTAAGAAAAAGTATCTCTTACCCTTCAATCAGAGATCCTGATATAAAGTATACCAAAGGTCTGATAATATAGTTGAGTTTAGGAACCTGGAAATTAATTTATCCTAAGATAACACACCTTGGATGAAAGTATACTTACAGAGATATAGGTATTAGTCACAGCTTTTTCAAGTATAGAGTTGGATGAAATACATAATCTATTTGGGCCTCAGAATTTACACTGGCTAAAATGAGGAATTTATATCATTCTTTCCATAAAGGTAGTCTACAGTTTTGTATTTAATACATAACTTATTATGTATTGTTACAAAATCATGAAGATTAGAAACTTTCAATATTTCCCTATCACAGAATATTAAGTTACTTAAAATTAACTTTTATTCTGTTAAAAAGCAACCCAAATAGAAATCATTTAGACACCCCTAAAAACATTGGTACTGGTTATAATAGGATCATCTTTACTAATTCCTCATCCCCATAACAAACCTATTAAAATTAGTGTAACACTGTTTAAGATTTCAAAATATAAAGTATCAGATACATACAAATAAACTGTACAAACAATAAATAATAAATGATGTGTAAATATACAAATAAAAATCTTTTACACCAGCATTATTTATGTCTCAACAATATGTAAATAGTTGAATTATAAGTTATTAAAATGTTTTCAAAGAACTATAATGACATACAAACATGTTCATGACATAAATATTACATTAAAATAAGGATAAACCCTATAATATAATCCTGATTTTATATTAAAAATCCACATGTACAGATATACAAATATCAAAATTATATATAAACATTTGTGCACACAAGCAGGCATCCACATACACATATCCTTCAATAATAAGTTACTAAATATTGACAATAATCCAAGTTTTTTATAATTGTATAGAAACATCCTGCATTTGTCAAATATTCACTAATGTATTTAGTACGCATTAGCTCTAAATAAAGGAAAAAATTACAGAAGAGAAACAGTCAAATTTTTACAGAACTTGCTTCAAGTAACTATATGCATTAATATCTAATGAACAGCATCCTTACGTCTTCAAGGTATCTCAATTGGATGATGCAAAGAAAACTCAGTATTGCAAAAATGGCATAGGGCTTTTTGTGTATTGCTGGCAGAGATGTAAAATGATGCAGCCACTGTGGTAAACAGGTGATTTTTCAAAAATATAAACACAGATTTTTCATATAATGCAGCAATTCTCCGTTTGGGAATATGCCACCCCAAAACTGCACCCAGGGACTCAGATGCTTGCATGCAAGTGTTCACAGTGGTATTACAGCAGCAAAAACTCAGACATCACATATCTGCCCATCAGTGAATGAATGGACTAACAAAATACGGTGCGCACACTGGATGTCAGTTACTCAGACTTAAGAGATGCAGAACCCCTAACATACTGTACTGTGGAGTGGCCTTGAAGGGTTACGCTAAGTGAAAGGAGCAGGGAAAAAAAAATACTGTGTGTCTCTACTCACATAAAATACCCAGAATGAAGACGGAAACCAGAGGCATAATTGTGCTGGCCAAGGAGAATGACTATTTACTTTTTATCGAGTGTAGAGTTTCAGTTTGGGAAGATAAAAAAGCTTCAGGGACAGATGTTGGTGATGGCTGCACAACAAAAATGCATGCATTTAAGGCTACCCAAGTGCTTAAAAATGGTTAAAATGATAAATCGTACATTTTATAGTTAAAGAAGTCAAAACATTGTTTTATTCCATTATTTCTCATACACTGTGCTTCTTCCTTCATATGTTATGGGTTAAGTAGGCAAACTGAATTAATCTAGGATCAGATTCTAATAGAATTAAAGTAAGAAATGTTTATCAAGCTACTTGAGATATGGGCTACTTAACCCCTAACAAATGAAGGAAGAAGCACAGTATATGAGAAATAAAAGACAGCTTATTACTATAATTTTAAGTAGAACCAAAAAAAACAGAAGTGAAAGAAAAGACTGTATTTTTACTGACCCTGAATGTTTGTTTTAAAAGTTTACATCAGGTGACAACAGGTAGATACGTGGATAAATTCTAGAAACAGATTTTTATGTCCCACTGTACTCTCAAAAACAAAAAGGTGGAATACAACTTTGGCAGTTATAAACTGCAACTAGAACATTATATATGCAATGATAAAGGACAAAACTAAACCAGAAAGTGGAGTCATAAAACACATACAGCTTATGAGCCCTGCCAAGGGATACTTTAGACAGAGTCAGTGTGGCAGAAGAGGCACTCGCCCGTGCATACACCTGCAGGATGAGCACGGCCAGGCATCCTGGCCAGGTCCTTATCCCAGCACCTCCCTCAAGGGGGTTACCCTGCAGCCTGGCTACGACACAGCAGCTCTGGAATTGCTGAAGAAAAGGGGCACAGACTAAAAAAATGAACTCCCTCTGCACACTCCCTAACACTTACCTTCCACATGTCCATCAGCAGATGCAATTTTATGCTTGATGTCTTTTTGTGATACCTGCTGAATGTTTACCCTGTGCTGCTTAGTTTGCTGCATGGTGTGAGTTTTCCAGAGTTTGCGCAGCTCTTCAACCTCTGAGTCCTGCCTTTGCTCCTTTCCTTCCTGGTCTTTGTTAATAGCTTGCTTTTGCTTAAATTCCATCATTTCTCCACAAGGCACGTTTTCTTTCCCACCTCCATCTTGCTGCAGGGCACTCTTCTGAGAACAAGGATCCTGGTCTGCAGGACCTTTCACACCTGGGCTTTTGTCCATGGGGCCTGACGCTTCCTGAAGCTTATCTGTCACCTCATCTCCGTCCTGAGTGGCCATTTCACCATGACTTAAACCCGCTTCGTGAGACACCATCCCAGTTCCTTTGGTCGAATGTCCAGTGTTGACTTTCAAGTGAGCAGGAGGACTGCTGGACTCTGCCTGGGCTGTCGACCCTCCCACCCCAGGGTGACTGACAGTTTGCACAGACTCTGAGGACGCCTCAGACGACTTATCTGAAGACATGCGCTCCTCTCGGATGGGAGAGAGCTCTGACTCTGTGAACACTTCCTCAGAGAGCGACTCCTCAGTGCTCCGAGGAGCCGTGCTGGCACTGTCGTTCCCTGCATCACGCGTTCTCCAGTCTACTTCCTCTGTATTCACTCCTGTTATCTTCTTTGAATGACAGAAGTCCTTTCCTGATAACAGATCTATTTCTCTGTCATTAAACAAAATTAAAGATGGTTAGACTTTAGAAAATTTGATGACTACAATTCTGGATAAAGTTTTAATTTTAAACTGAAATTTACTCAATGATGGAATATAGAAAATAAATTTAGGAGAAATTTTCAATTAGCATTTTAAATCTTTAGTAAAGAATACATTACCACACACATATGCACAATGCTTATTTACACTCAAACAGAGATTGAACCAAGATACTGGTCACAAGCAAGGGCTGAATACATGCTGAACGGAACTGAAGCAAACATACTTTCAGGGTATATTTAGACTAACAAGCACTGTTTACAACAACTTCAAGAGAACTTATCCAGTTGAAGAATATAGGTAAAGAATACGTGTGTGGTTCCTGAGTGGGTCTAGATTTCCATCATAAGTGCCATCTGGTGTTCGCAGGCTACTTTACGTTCTGTAAACGTGTGAGTGCCTGTGTTAACGGAGCATCAGTCAATAATGCAGAAGGATGGCTCTAAATATCCTGTGACAGACGGAAACTGCATGAATTCTCACTGAAGAAGGGGCTGGCCTTTGTGCATGTTGAGCTGGAAGACCAGGCAAAAATATGCTGCACAGAGAGGACTGGAAAATACGTCAACAAAAAGTAACTGGCTTTCTCTGGACGGTGAAACTGGGTAACTCTTCTGCTGTTCTGGAATTTAGATTTTTTAAAAATTCAGTAATCTTCCTAACCAGGATGTGCAAAATTCACTTTTGAAATGCTCTCTAGCTGCAGCCCAATTCCTATCTGTGCCATCTCTGCACTGGATGCATCTTTTAATACAAGTGTCTCAATCATGTTGTTTAACGAGCCATGGCGTCATCTACTGGTGACTCACTCCAACTGCATCTTTAGGAGGTTCAATAGCCCAATTCTGGGAAATTTTGTCTCAAACAAACAGTAGAATTAGGTCAAAGGATGAGGACAAGAAACCTAACAAGATATGTATTTACATATGTGCTATACTTTTCAAAGCTAATACGTTGAAAGGCTAAAACATATATGCCAACAGCGTTGCTACTGTCAAATATAGGTTCAGAAAGTATCTTCTGAAATCAACTTTCCAAACTTTTTACCTCTTTTTTTCTGCATATAACCAACCAAAACCTCAAAACAACCAAATTTTTCCAAACATAACATTGCTTTGTAAAACCATTTACTTTATCATATTTGGTGAAAAATACTGCTTTAAATTATCCCATAAGGTAGTATTTCAAAAATTTCTTTCTGAAAGAATTTTTAATGTTTGGATGCAATGCCTAGTCTTTCCTGGTGACTGTTGAGCTGGTTAAAAGGGAAGGAGAACTGCAACGTCCTGCAGAACACAGACTGTCCAGAATCAGAGCTCCCCCACTGTGTGGCACTGGCCGACGCTGCGCAGCCAATCCTCTTTCTCTTTCGATCTCACCTCCATTTCACCTGAGTCTCGTCCCTGCACTGCCCCTCGTAATCTTTTACTTGCTGAAACTGGCTTTGGATAGTAATTTATTACTTTAAGAAATCGTAGAGGACAATGACACCTTCCAGGAACTATATGGGGCTATAAAGAGTAGCTCACTAAATCAAAATAATATCTGTTGTTTGGAAGGTAGGACAGAGACTTTTCTAATAAGGGATTTTATTCTGTCACAGGTATCCTAAAAACTCATATAGTCTTCCTCAGACCAAATATGCGCACGCACATACACACACAATTCTCTCCTTGGCAAACTGTTCTTCCCAGGAGTTAATTTCACAGTAGGCAGTACCATGCCTGTAAGTTAGACACACAGGGCAGCTCTTTTCTATTACACATCAATTTTCTTCCTTCTCACTCCCTCCCCCATACACCTATATTTACTTTCTCCTTTTATTTCCTATTTCTTTTTCTTCCTTGGGTCATTAGTCTGGTCAAGCACCTTACTTCCAAAAGATCTGCCCAGTCTGTTGTCTCATACTTGTGTTACCTTATTGCACAAATCATCTGACCAGTGTATTCCAAGGTTAACGCTTCCTGTTAGTGCAATGTGTGGGTTTTCTACTTTGTATTTTATACTTTTCTAGGCAAGAAAAGAGAAAATATAAATCAATATACTAAAAAATACAGCCATGCTGCCTAGTAGCAATGTCAGATCTATATCTCACCTTTTAAGAGAAAAATCTGTAAACTATCTTTCACAATGATTAGAAGTAAGTAGGTTAGAATTGTTAATGGTGGACCTAAAAAAGGGCTGGTAAACACTGATGACTTACTTTTCAACTATCTGATTCCCTGACCAAAAACAGATAAATAAATAATTCCTAACTATCCTAGATGCATTCAGAATAATCTTTTATTACTGCATATATCTCTTGTTTCATTACTGACAAAATGAAAAATGGCTACAATAAAACTACTAAAAACAGTTGAGGGGTGAGAGCAAGGTCAGCTCTCTGGATGCAATCCACTGCAGCTGAAGATAAACACCGTTCTTACGCGGGCAGAGACTCCTTAATTTCACGGTCCAGGATGTCTCTGTACATTGCGGCAGACATCACCTCCTCCATGGGGCACATGATGCCATATTCCTCACAGCCATTCTCCTGGACCAAAGGGTCGGTTTTATGTGGGTCGAACATGATATTGTTTGGTGTTACCAGCAGCACACCACTGACTGTGCCCTAAAATGGAAAAAGAAAGTAATGTTTAATTTTCAAAGCTCAAAATTTCAAAACTATTGAACTATCTTTACTATAGATCATGTATCATAATTCTAGAACAATGGCATTCTCATGAAAACACTTAACAGGAATGCTTTCCCAGTAAATTCTGCTCTGCAGCAGGGACAGAGCACAAAGAATATCATATTCCATCCATAACCATCCAGTTGGGAACTAAAATTTGTAACCTCAGTAAAGTACTGTTGTTGGGAAAAGAATTTGAGAAAAGTAAAAAGGGATGTAATGAGGTCAGTTTTACACTAATCTGCACACCTCTTCCTGCATTACTTATTCTCTAGTTTCATGTACACAGTGCAGATTATTAAACTGCCCTTGATAATTCATTCCACAATAAACTGAAAAGCACATGATTTCATTAAAACCCCTTTTTAAAAATCATTGCTTTCACTTGACTTTGTGACCTTGGGTAAGCAGAGCTTCTGAGTCTTTTTTGCTCATCTGTGAGATTAGGTAGATTACACAACCACTAAAGGGCACAGTCATCATTGTGAATTTTACCATGAAAAGCTAAGAAATTTTAAGTGTGTTTATATAAACACAGATACAAACCTTTGGAGTGTACCCACTTTTTAAAAACTAAAGTTCAAAAGCAGCTGACCCAAGTAATGCTAGTTAATATTTACTGAATATTCTATGTATATCCAAAGTCATATAGTTAGCGTTCATCTAATCTTTATGATCACAGTACAATGAGATAGGTATAATAATTAGTTTTGATTAAATTCTGATCAACAAGAATTCAAAATCTAGGTAGTTTTTGCTTTTTACTATAATCCTTTGGGATCCATGTCACAAACTACAATCATTCCAAATCAAGTGTGACACATTCCTTGCTGCCACTGATTCTCTCATTCCGCTATACTCTGTAAATCTAAAAATGAAAAGCAGAATTCCTGGGAAAGATGCCCAGGGCTACCTGCACTAAGTCTCCCTGCTGCACGGGGCAAGACATTCATGAGAGGCCCCTCAGCTGAGGGAGCCAGGGAGAGCACCGCTAGACAGTCACCCAGAGGGCAGTACTGAGTGAGGACGGGAAGCACTGGGCGCAGTGCGCATGTGCAGAGACAGAGAAGACAGGAGCAGTCCCCACGGAGGCTGCTGGGGTTGTCTCTCCACCCTCAGCCATCTTGCACCCCAGCCGCTCAGGTTCACCAAGAATGCCCCTGGAGCCCATGGGCTCAGTGGCATGCGGGCTCAGCAGAAGAGTGCCTTTCTGGGTGGAATTCAACAACATACAGCATACACACACCAAATAGCAAAGATGAATATAAGTATTACGTGTCACAAACTTACACAAACAAAATTCAAAACTAAACACAACATTGCTTCTTGTGGCAGGCACCTACTGTGCCATTTTCTTTCTTTTTTTTTTTTTTTTTTTTTTTTTTTGTCTTTTTCATTTTGTTTATCGGTACCAGGGATCGAACTCACGACTGCCTGCTTGCAAGGCAGGCGCTTAACAACATTGCTTCTTGACTCTGGATATATTAATCAGCATTCTGCTAAGACTACTGTGAGCAAGACCGCTCCAGTGAGCATCTTCCCAAGCCACAAGCTCTACAGAAACTTCAAGCACCAAGTACTTTTAGTATTAACAACTTCTACCTGCTTAGGTGCAACTATCTGACTAACCTTTTAAGGAGAAATTATTTCTGTCAGAAAATAAAGTCCACCTGCAAAACAAAGGTTACCACTTAACAATATTTCTGTAGATACCAAAAGACAAAACAACTACGATCTGGAATCCATCCTGGCAGAGAAAAGCCTGCACTGATTTTTTTCTAATTTCAACTCCACAATAATTTAATCACTATAATTGTTGACAAGTTTCAATATTTTGAGTAACAAAACTTTACTGTGATGAATCTGTAGGACGACGAAAGGAGACAACTTACAGGAGGAAGTAAACTTCTGCCTCCTTTCTTCTGTGCATTAGCATAAGCACAGCTGCCTCCAACAAGAGATTACATCCCAAGAACAACAGGGTGCAGCCTCAATGGCCCTGTGTGTGCTTTGATCCTTAAAGCACAATGAGATACCTGCAAATAACTTCGGCTTTGAGCCAAAAACTAGTTCTGCCTACACTACTGAGAACACACACTACGCATGAAACAACTTTCTCAGTACTGGAAGGCTGCTGGGCAGTGAGTGATATCTGAACAAGGAGAACCAAGGAAGATTTCTCTACACTCCTTCCTGGCACAGTGTACCGAGAGGACTTCCAGGAAGCATGTGAGGAGATGGGGACAGGAAGTGCTGCTCAGCAAGAAGATTCTGGGTGCAGAGAGGACCCTCTGGGCTGGAGATGAGCGCTGACCACTAGCTGACCCAGCACACCCAGAGACAAATAAGCAGTACTCCACAGACGCGAGGTACAGATTCCAGAGTCTGCAATCAGGAGCAGCTGTGTCCTCCTGAAGCCGGCGGAAACCTATACCCGCAGGCCTCGGAAGCACCAGTGGCAGTATCTCAACAAGGGGAACCTCAGCTACAGACAAAGGCAGCTATGGACTTGTTGAAAAAAGACAGACAGACTGCAGCCCTTCCAGGGGGGAGAACCAGCAGTGTCTCCTGAGATCCGCGCCATGTTGGAACTTGGGACTCTGGGCAGCCAAGCAAGCACCTCCCCTCCCTGGTAAGGAGCGGCAGTGTGGCCCACTGCAGCCCTTCCAGGGGGAGAACCAGCAGTGTCTCCTGAGATCCACGCCATGTTGGAGCTGAGGGGGCTGTGAAAGCAAATGACCATCCTGCCTCCCTGCTTATCCTCCTTCGTCCCCCCTTCCCCGCCCATTAGCAAATGGAAACCAGAAATCTGAGTATCTCCTGGGAGGTTGATCATAGCAAATAAGGGGGACTTTCTTCTACCATTTCTTTGAAGGCAAATATTTTTATTACTGTTTTGCTCTTTTCGGATTAATGGTACTGCTCTATTCAATATTCTGTTTTGGTAAGTTCTATAGTGTTCTATATTTCATCTCATTTTGATATACATGATTGAAAGAACAACTACTATAAAGATAACAAAATATACTATGATACCTATTACTGTTATCCTGGTAACCTGCTGTGAAGTTCTGTAGCTCTGTACCAGTTTCACTGTACGATCTTAGTTGGCTTTATTCTGATTTGTTCTGTTGTATACTTTCAAAATAAAATTTAAAAAATAATAAATAAAAAAATAAATAAAATAAAATAAAATAAAAAGGAAAAAAAAAAAAAAAAAAAAAGAAAGAAAGCCAGGATCAAATCAAGCTGTTTTGAAGAAATTTAACCATGTCCTTGGAAAAAAAGTATAGTATGTACAGGAAAACAAAAATAGCCAGTACTCAATAAGATAAGATTTATGGTGTTTGACATCTGAGGAGAAACTGTTATTCATAAGAAGAAACAGGAAAAAGTGACCTTCACCAAACAGAAAGAAATCAATGAACACAAAAAGACACTGAGAGACAGTGAAAGAAACTTGGTAGAAAGGGCATTAATATAATTATTATAACCATATTCTAAAAGAGAGGCTATGCATGATAAATGGAGATACAGAAAATATGAGACCCTATTTGGACTTACAGAATGCAGAGTGACAAGGATGGAGATGAAAATAATCTGAATGTACTGTAACAGCTCATACATGACAGAACACTGCACTTAAATACAACAGTTACAACTATAGAGAAGAGAAAAAGAAAAAATGAAAAGAGTATCAGGAAGCTACGTGACATAATGTTAAACAGCCAAAAAACAACGTAACTAAAGTTCTCAAAGAAAGAATAAAAAAGGATGAGAAAGAAGAAGTACTTGAAGAAATATGGCCCATAATTTTCCAAATTTGAATTAAGTTACAAATCCACAGATCCAAGAAGCTGAAGAATCAAAACAAATATGAAAATATACACCATGGTACATCATAATCAACTGTTCAAAATTAGTGACACAGAGGACACTTTTAATGTAATCAAACACACTTTTTCTTATAGAACATCGAGTTCTGAAAGAGAAAGACAGCCTTGTCAACCTACTCCTGTGTCTACTATAGCATCTTTCAAATTGAAGCAGATGGAGTCGCCGACCCCGGAGAGCACGTGACTATGTAAGAAGATGGTCACATCCCACATCCTCGATGAAGGCCAAGGTAAACCCCGTGGGACCAGGAACGGCTAAACTGCAGGACGACTGGAAACCCCTAATACAAGGAGGTGCTGAGCAACGGGAATTCTCACTGCTCACAGGACACAGAGGTCCCAGGTGCTTGGAAATGTGGCAGTTTCTTAGTAAGCTGTGCACGTCTTACACTTTGTTGAGATGTGCTCCTTGGCATTTATCCAAGTACAGTGCAAACTCAAGCCCATAGCACATCCACACTGCAATGTTCAGAACAGCTTCTCTGTAAGTGCCAAAGCCTGGCATCAAACAGGACATGGTTCCTTCTGTAAAGGGGAAATGTGTAAATAACTTAGAATACAGCCCCCACAGTGGAATGTTACTCACCAATAAAAAGAAATGAGGTGTTGTTAAAGCACAAAAGACTCAGAGGACCCTTAAACATGCCATTAAATTACAGGAGTCAATCTGAAATCCTACAACCAAACTATTTGATTTGTCATACGGCACTCTGAAAATGACAAGACTGTGGAGACAGTCATCAGCTAGAGAAAGCCCAGGGGAATGAGAGGAGGAGTCAATGGTGACACATGGAATGGGAAGGCAGGAGACGAGTTTGTGTAGCACAGCAATGGTGGATACATGTGTAATACACTTGGCCAACAGGGAACCTGTGAACCCACAGAACATAAAACAGCACTGAATCGTGTGAACTAAAGAATTCAGTGTCTGAATACTGGCTTATGAAAGCAACAAACCTAGTACCTAAATGTTAATAACAGAGAACGGGGCAGGAGTTATCGGGGAACTTGCTGTTTAATTCTTTTATCAACTTAAAATTCCTCTACAAAACAAAATTTATTAACTTAAAGACATCCACACAAGGAAAAAGAGATAGAAGTGAGAAATAAAAATTTAGAGCCAGGCATGGAGGCACATGTGTATAATCCTAGTGCTGCAGGAAGTTTCTTAGTAACAGTAGTATCCCAAATTCAGGTCCAGCCAGGGCAACTTAGCAAGATGTCATCTCAAAATAAAATAGAAAGGGGTGGGATGTGACTCAATGACAGGTCACCCCTGAGTTTGATCCCCAGTACCCAAAAAAAGGATTCTTTTTATAAAAGTATTTATATATACACATGTGCTTTTGAATAAATACAATAGTACCATGCAAAAAGGAAAAACACATTTTGTTGACATTCAAACACTGAAAGACTCTCCAAGTGAAGTGCATCATAAATACTTTAAAAGTACTCCAGTAAAGCAAAAATACTACTAAAATGTGAATCTACATAAAGGAATTTTTCAAAACATGCACAGAATGATAAATGAATGTAATAGACTTTTCCTTACTTTTAAAATTATGTTCACTTAACTTTTTCAAGCAAGCATAACAATATATTTGGGGTTTCTCACATGTAGAAATAAAAGGTAGAACGTAAGACCACAAAGGCTGGGGAAAGGTTTGAAAGTATAGTTTACTCTTGAACAAAATGAGTTTGAACAGTTCTGACCCCCTTACATGTATAATTTTGTGTATGCATGTGATCTATGACAATTTGAAAAAACTCCCAGATGAAATGTGTGGTTTGGATAAATCAAAGAGACTAAGAACAAGTAATATTTATTATGAATATAAAAAATGCATGTCAATGATCTATTTTATGATTTTATGATTGCCTTTATAATGTACACAAATCTATGATAAAAAGTGATAATGTTATTAAAACTTATGCCCTGACGTTTCCAGACCACACCATGGGAAGTGCAAAGCAGTTTGCATAGATGTAAACAGGCAGCTTCGTGTCACCCTGCACCGAGCACCCTGCGAGACCTGCCAAACTACTATGTGATGCCACAGCTGCTCCTGCATTACAGCAGGGACATGGGGAACTTGGGGGCTGAGTCATCTATGCTCCGTGACACTGATCACATCAATGCAAGCAATTTGTCTCTCCAGGAAACTGTGCACTGCAACGAAAATGCTATCTTGTAGTTCTCTGGCATTTTTCGCCAGATATAGTATGTCTAACACTCAATGTATATGTCGATCAACTGTTTTTGTTACCAGCAAGGCTTCCCATCAATTGCAGGCTATTACAAGGTTAAGCAGTACATGGATTTTCAACAGCATGAGAGGTAAATTTTCCTATCCTCTGTGCTGCTCCAGGGTCAAATGTAAAGTTCTTACATTATATGTAAAATGCTACACTTCTGAAGTGAGATATATAGAAGATAATATATTATAAATTCTATAGCAATCATTAATAATGTGTCACAGTTAATTAGCCAATAAAGGAGACAATAAAAACCTCAATGCAAAAAAAACACAAAACAAAATAGAACAAAAAAGAGGGGCAGGTGAGACACAAAGAGAAAAGCAAACAGCAAGACAGTAAATTTAAACCTAACCATATCAAAGTGCATATCAAATTAAAGGCAGAGATTATGGATGGAAGCAAGATTCAACCACATGCTACCTGCAGGACACCAATTTTACAAAGACAGGCAAAGCAAAGAGTGGAAACAGATGAAATAAACCATGTTAATGCTTATTAAGAGGAAGGTGACATGACTATAATAGTTCTTACCATGTAGATTTCATAGTAAAGAAAATTACCAAGAATAAAGAGGGTTTTTCAAAAGGACAGACAAGGTAAATCAAGAGAATATCACTGTTCAAAGCTTTTATGCCTAATAGTGGAGTTAAAATACATGAATCAAAAACAGAGAACTAAGCAAATAGATAAATACACAATTGTAGTGTGATATTTCTACATCGTTTTGTCAGTAACTGACCAAAGAAATAGAGAATCCGAGCAGAGATACAGAGTGCCACTGTCACCCAGTCTGACTTTGCTGCCCTCTGTAAGATGCCCCACCCCAACAGAACAGGTGTTCTTTTCAGGTGTCCAGGTACCTTCCTCAGGGTGCCACAGTCTGGGCCAAACAGGCCAGCTAATCAGGCTTTCAAGCAGTAGTGCTTTCTTTGAGCACATGGAATTAAATCAGAAATTAGTAACATAAAGATATCTGGAAAATTTCCAAGAAATTAAAACCCTCAAAATATTCCATGGGGGCAAAGAAAAAGAAAATGTATTTTGAAAACAGGAAAACATAACACATTTAGCTGCATTTTGTGATGTAGCTGAAACACCACTTAGGGGACAACTGAATGTTTGTATTTTAAAAACAATTTATGAATTATAGGTATATAGTCATGGTTGTCATGTATAACTTCTCAAGCTCCTATCATGTTGTGGTCACTTTCTAAGTAAATCCTGGAATTTATTTTTCAATTCAGAGTTTACAGCATTTGCAAACTGGAAGATTTTGCTTAGAAAAGCAGCTAAATGTGGCAGATAAACACAATCAAATAAGGTTCAAATTATGACTCATAAGTCTTTTAACCTAGTAAAATATCTGGACTTTTTTTGTCCTGTGAGAAGAAATAAGACTACCTTTTCCATGAGATTATTTTGAGTTAATAAATCAACCAATACCCTCAAATACTTCCAGGTATCTTAATTAACAGTTATCTTTCTTGTATGTGATACTAAGTTTGGAAAAGTTAGCATTCCAAACATTACCCGGAAGTAGTCTTTTTTACATGCTTTTTGAAATATCCCAGCAGTAATAAAATAACTGTGCATCACACTGAATTTGCTGACATCCTGCTGCCTTTTAACAATGGCAACAGAACACCGGTCTCTTCAGTTACGAGCAAGGTCCACACCAACTCAAACTCACAGTTATCACCAATACCTTGCTTCAATATTCAGGCACTGAGGATTCAAAACATAAATGCCCCAAATCTCTGATTAGTGATAGTGAATTAAGAAGGATTACAAATTTTCTGTAAAGTATCATTTGTTACCTTGCCACTAGTGATGTATTTGCAATTAATCTTAAGAAATTTCTCAGTAAATGCTTCTTCTTCTTCAGATGTTGAAGATACAACTCGTGCCGGTCGAATACCAGTGATAGCAGATGCAGGAGTTGCTTCTTTTGGATGAACTGCATCAGGATTCTTAAAAGAAAAGGAGCACTTTAAAAAAAAAGACTAAGCAAAACAGTAATTATTAAAGCCAAATGAACAAATGAGTAAATGCTCTTCTTCGTGCCCACATTCTGAAGGTCATGTTGGCATGCTCCACACAGCATCAACTTGCTTAGCTCTAAGCCCCACTGCAGGGACTTCCTGATGTATGTGGATGGGCTGCGGTGCGGCCTTGGGCTCCAGGTCTATCTCCTCACCCACCTTGCTCTCTAGCACCACTGCCCTGCTCTAATTCCAGCCCTGATGAACTAATCTGCTTTACTCTGCCACACCCTTCTTCCATGATGTTTCTGTCTTAGAACCAGGGGACCATGGACGGAATCTCCTTAAAGCCTGAGCCAAATTAAATCTCTTCTAGGAGTTGGTGTCAGGAAGTGGGTGTGAGATTTTGTATGCAGCAATGGGGAAACCGCAAATAAAATTTACATTTTAGTGATATATACACATATACATTATAGAGTGTATGTGCCATATTTAGTGTATATATATATATATATATATATGCATGTCCTCATATATAATCATGTGGAAAGCATTGAAATCAACATCACATGTATCTTTACACTCATGCTCTCACACACAGATGCTCAGGCACTTATGAATTAAAGCACTAATCATGATATGAACATGTAATATAAATAAGGTGTTGGGAACAAAGAAAAGATAAAGACCTTATCCATGGTACTTAGGTACACAGCAAAACCCACTCATTGGAAATGTCTGAATTTTCAAACTATAATGAGTTTATTAACACTGCTTTACAAAGGACCAGTGAGATCATAATGTAGCTTTCCCAAAGCCACGAGCCATTCTCACAATGCAATCTATGGACTTCTTATCAGTGTGGTTGAATGGTTAAAATAAAATATAGTCTTATAAAGCAAAACAATTATGTATATTGAAACAGTTATCAAGACATTAAAAAATAAATTGGAAATAGTGTGCTATGTATTCTTCTCTATTAATGCATTAAATATTAACATCAAGTGGTGACTGACAACTCTAATGTGGAACATAACTCTTGCTTAATGACTGTAAATGACATTTTGTGGTATCTACAATTAGAAAGTGATCTGAAAACATCAGTGAGATTTACTGACAAGTCACAGGTATTCTTGGTATTGATTTGCTTGCTTTTGTATGTCTTAATTTTTAAAAAATGTTAGACTGCACTTAGAATTTTTATATTCAAGTTCACAGACCCTCTAAAAATTACACAGAAATGTCCTCCATGGAAGTTTCACATTCTCTACCTTGGAGGAAGGTATATAGATGCTTTTAGACCTGTTTTAAGTATCTCCAAAGAGGTATTCTGTACCTTATGAACATACACATTGCTTTTTAGAGAGTTTACATAGTAGCAAGATTCTGGGCTTTATAACTTCTACCTACTAGCTCTAATTTAGCTTGTGAAAATAATAAATAACACTGATCTTCCAGATTGTTGGTGGGAATGTAAGCTAGTCAACCACTATGGAAATCAGTATGGAGATTCCTCAAAAACATAATACTAGGAATTCTACTTAACCCAGCTATTCTCCTGCTACCCGAAAGAGTTAAAGACACCATGTTACAGTGATACATGACATGCAGACTTTTACATTTACAGCAGCACAACTCACAACAGCCAAATCTTGGAAGTAACCTATATTCATCAACAGATGAATGGATAAAGAAAATATGGGATTCACATACAGTGGACTACTAATCTGTCATAAAGATAAGAGTCATTTGTAGGAAAATGGATGCACCTTGAGACTGTTAAGTGAAATAAATCAGACACGTAAATTTAAATATCACATTGTTTCTCTTACATGAGAAGCTTAAAGTATAAATAAAGGGCAAAATAAAAGACAGAAAATAAGCACTAGGGAGATAGATCTTTCTCAAAGGGGAAAGGAACAAGAGATGGAGGAAGCAGGAGGAAAGAGAGGAAAAGGGGGAAAGAGGCATTCAGAGGTGTCATGTATGTGCGCCAATTTCCCATGAGGAATGTAAACATTATGTACTACAAATACGCACTCATAAAAAAAGTAAGTTACGAAAAGTGCTGTCAATCTTGTAGACTCTGAGGTAAGTGAAAAGAGGTATCAAACTTTCACATGATTTTTTTCTTTCCTAATCAACAAATCTACCTTCTTCAAATCCTTTTAGAACTCCTTTCATTTATCCCTCCCAAAACACATGTGAATCCTTAGCACTGGGATAGACACCTATAGATACTCACTGAAGGAAGGCCAGACCAGTCAATATACTGCAAATCAAGTTTACTTAGTATACAATTAATATTTTTAATAACCTAGATTTTAATGATCACAAAACACTATCTGTTAGAAATTCTTTTTTTTTTTTTTTTTGGCTTTTTCGTTTTTATCGGTACCAGGGATCGAACTCATGACTGCCTGCTTTCAAGGTAGGCACTTATGCTGCTAAGCTAAATCCCCAGCCCCCAGAAATTCTGATGCAAATGATCAACTTTGTACCCATTCTGTTGTCTTTGATACTTAACACACTTGACTTCTTTTCATCATGTATATAAATTAATTTAGCACAGCTGACCAAAAAAGCTGACTTTATTGATAGCCTCAATGAATGGTTATTGAAAACCTGCTTATCTGAGTGTGTTAAATGGACCATTTAATTTTTAACTCACTCAAAATATATATAATGATCTTAGATTTGAAGGAAACTTATCTTTCATCAAACTCTGTAACTTGCCAATAAAGTAAGACAAAGCTGAGTTGCAAAAGGACTCGTGATTGATCTGCAACATCTGAACCATCCCTCATGGATCTGCTACCAAAGGAGGGGTCAAGCACCAAGAACAACTCCTCGCGCAGAGCTACCCGAAAGGTCCCGCAAGTGAGAGACCAATTTCTGAAGTGCATGCACTATTTAACCTTTTCAAACTGCACTGACATTGTCATCTAGTTTTTATAACTTCTTCCACATCTGCTATTACCAGTTAATTTATGTCTGTTTCCAGGTACACAGGCATACAACTTCAAGATGCTGCTTAATTATGTTATTTGTAAGATTTAAAAAGGGGTTTGTTTTGCAGAATTCACAAATATTCACAAGCTCCTCACCCTGAGAAACTAACCATACTCTTCCATGTAACTTCTCATCTGTAAGTGAAGAATATTTGCTGAAAGTTGCACTTAAGTATAGTTAAAATTCTTCTCAAGTTTTCCTTTTCTTAAAAATCATACATTAAACTTTACACTATAAATTAAATTCTGTACCACCAATCTGTAATTCTCTTGAAATGAATAAGAGTGCATATCGGGGCTGACTATGTCGCCCAAACTACACTGAAGTCCCAACCCTGACCCTCCAGGGTGAGGCTTCATCTGGAAGGAGGCTGGTGCAGACACTACTAGGTAAACTGAGGCTGCAGGGGAGTGAGGTGTGCCCTCAATTCATGCTGACCGCTGCTGCCTCTGAAGTGAGGAGCACTGTGTGAAGACACAGATGGGAAGACAGCCCTGTGAGGCACAGCGCAGAGCTGAGGCAAAGCTCCCCAAGCCAGGGAATGCCAAGGCTTCTCAGTGACGCTGGGCAAGACGGCGGCTGCTCTGCAGATCTAGGGGGGCAAGGGCCCTGCACGCAGCCTGACATCAGACTTCGACCTCTGCATCTGAGGAGGTAAGTTTCTGTCGGAACACAATTAGCCTATGATCCTTTGCTAGAGAAAAGCCAGAAAAATGAAGGCAGCCAACTGCTAACTTAAAGCAGAACAGTAGAGAGGAAAAGAAAGTGCTCCAAACTATATAACTGCATGTATATTTAAGTGTATAAGATAGAAAATGATATCACAGAGTTTTATTGGATCAATGAACAGAACTGTTTGCAGTATCATTGATGGAATGTCCACTTTACAAGCTTTAATTTTGTGACTTGAACAATTATTTCTAAGATGACAATATGTAATCCATTAACTAGTGATTTCCTACTGTTCATTTTTTTTCTGTAAATCTGTATAACTTGTACCCTTTCCCTGCTTTTTTTTTCTTTTCTCCTTAAATAAAATTAAAAAAAAAAAATAAAGCAGAACAGTATTACTAAAAGAGCAGCCATATTAAAAACTGCTTATCTTCACCATTCCATCATTTTAAACAACACTTCTGAATTCCAAGCTAACTTTTTCTTTCTTTTTTTGAAATAAGGTCTCACTATGCAGTTCAGGCTGGGCTTAGGCCTTGAGCTCACATGTAACGCAGGCTGGTCTCAATTCACAACAATCATCTTCCCTCAGCCTCCCAGTGCTGGGATTCCAAGTGTGCACCACCATACCTGGCTTCTTTTAAATTCTGTTCTGCCCACACTTGTTTGATTGGAGGGAATGTCTGTGATGATCTCTGTGCTTGTCAGTCCCCAGCACCTCACTCTTCAGCCAGGACCAGAGGCAGGCAAACACAGCAGGCTGCCTGAATCTGGACTGCCGGGGGTACATCCAAGCTCCACAACTCAGGAGCTGCATGACTCATGCACACCAGCCACTTCCCTGTGTAAAGCACTATCAGTGCACAGAGCAAAGTGTTTAATACACCTAACCTACATTGTCGTTTTAAAATATCTTTTCCTCCATTAGGGTTTCATGTAGGTCTTTTCTAGAACTTCTTAATATGTTTTTCAAAATTGTGTTTCCTTACTATGATGTGTATTCCAGTCCAACTGTTGTTATTAATAAAAATTCTACTTTTGCTATCATCTATTAGATGATTATAAACAAAACATTTTATATTAAAGAAAATGAGTATCTACATATTCCTTCCTTCAATGATTACAATGGTAGAACCATGCATAAAAATTTAAAATTTCATTTTTCCACATTAGTTATTTTAAACATGTTTTACTCTGAACTTATAAATGTATCACAGTCATTCTAACTTTAAGTGACGTTAGCATAATGAATAAAGGTAAAAACGAGTGGAAAACAAAAGTAGATTCTATATTCATAAAAAGGTTGTGAAAGTTAATCTCAACGGCACAAAGTGGCAATTCTCTCCGCACCAGTTTACCATGGTTCACTATTACTTAGCTCTTTGCATCCATTATGTATTGAGCGACTGCTGTTTCTGAGTTATCAATTCTAGTACAAGACTAACACAGACTGCACCAACTGAAATCCTAGCTCCTCTACTAGCTTCCTGAGTGACCTGAGAGGCAAATTAGTTAACATCTAGTCCTCAGTTTCCTCCTCCACAAACAGAAGTAATAGGCATTGGTCAGTGCATCAGAATGAGTCATTTTAAGAAAGCTGAACAATGGAACTATTTACCGAGAGAGAGCACAACACCCTGAGGCAAACCCCAGAGGGGTTCTTGAAAGGTAAGGTGGGGAGCAAGTGCCTCAGTGGAGACAAGACAGGGATGATGGGGAGAGGCTCACAAGAAATGGGGTCGGAGAAGAGAGAAGACGTGGAAGAATGCAGCCTCTCCTCGGTGACCTGGGAAGGAGCAGACATGCTCCATCTAGCTCTTTTTCCTTCACACTCAGCTATTCCTGGTGACCCTAAAAGGCCACAGAAGCGAGACAATATGGGAGTCCAGTGCTAGCCTCTGCTGCTCAAGGAAGACAGAAGTGCAGAATATTTGCAGGGACACACACGTATCTTCATAAATCTGAGGCCAGAATAACAGTACTTTCAAAAATGCTTAGAATTGTATCTGACACAGCCAATTTTAGCAATGCTCATCTTTTTTCACTATTGCTTGGGTTGATCTCTTAAGTCTTCACAAGTAAAGAAAAAGGCACAAAACTGTTTGCCCTGTAAATTTCCAAAGATTATATATATATATTTTTTGGTACCGGGGACCGAACTCACAACCACGTACTTGCAAGGTAGGCACGTATGCCATTGAGCTAAATCCCCAGCCCAAAAGATTATATTTTATACAAAAACAAATTATTAAAAAAATGAAACCAAATACTCTAATGAAGCCAGGAGCAAAATATTTTAGGCATAGATAAGCCGCTACCAAGATGGATATTCAGGAACCCTCTTAGTGGTCACTAGAAATATAAAATGACAATTTATGGGAAGAAAATAGAGTAATGACCAATATTAGCAGACATTATTTAACATCAATATTAACTATACTTAATAAAACATATCCTTGCTTCTTAGGATACACATTAAAGATATGAAGTAAATCCAACACTTATAATACAGAAAATATAGCACTGGAGATACGCAGACAATTACACAGTAACATTCTGCAGTCTGATAATGAACATAAAATTATAAAAATACAACTAAAGATTATAAAATCACTGTTCGAAAGACTCCTAACTACTGCACACAATCTTTTTGATAGAAGCTGATGGCTATCATCCTGGGGCAAGGAAGCTGAAGAACTCTTTCACCTCTGATCTTTTCCCTTGACCCCTCCCCAGAGGAGCAACACAGTCACAGAATCCTTTGCGACCTCTTTTGACAGCAGATTTGACCAGGTCTTTTTATGCTCTCCAGCTTTTAGATCCCATGACAAAATTGAAGAGAACATTTTCACATAGGAGAAAACCTGGTCCGCATTGGACCTTTTCTTGCATGTCATGCTGTCCTAGAAAACAAAGGGGTACACAGATTTGGTTTAAAGCTGAGAGACAGCAAGAGACCTCATGGGATTCTAGTCTGCAAAGATGTTAGAGTTTACCTTTTTACATGATTCTGCTTTAGGGTTTGAAACACAAACTAAATTAACGCAATGCTATGGTGCTTTTGAAATTGCTTCCTTCTGCACATAAAAAGGCTGATTGAAAAATATAATGTGTGTCTAAATTTTAAAAGCTTTATTATAGTTAAAGACACATTATTATTAACCCACCTCAAAATACTCTATTCCTTACTCCAAAGATACTTACCCTATCATTCTTGCCACTTTCTGAAGCAGTTCTAGAAGCCTCTTTTGAGACTGTATGAAGGAGGTGTAATAAAAAATATAGCTGAATGCTTTTGCCAAGTGCCATCCAACAGAAAGGCGGACTCCTAAAATTATTACTGTGTGTCCCCATCCACCTTATTTATCAGTACCTTTGATTTCTGGCTCTTTCTCAAAGAAAAATGACTATAAAAGGGAAAAAGTTTTAATTGATTCAAGACATCAAAGGCAGTTACAACAGTGCAACTAAAGACACAAAAGAGGACTTTCAGAGCTGCTTCATAAAGTAGCAAGGATGTTAGATAAGTGTCCCCGCACTGTGTCTCTTACAGTAACACATTTTTAAATTTAAGCCTTATTTTCAATCACAGCTCTGATCATTTTGTAAGTCCCTCAGGAAATGGCATGGCTACTTTGAAAAAGTTTTTCTTTTCCCTGTTCTCTTTCTCAGCAATAATTATCATTAAAATCTGATTTCTACTCTTCATCAAAACAGACAGAAAATGTATGCAGACTGAGCATCCCTAGTATGAAAACCAGAAATCTGAAACACTTGCAAACCTCAAAATTTTCTGAGTATTGCCATGAGGTCACAAGAGGCAAATTCCAAGTCTGATCTTAGGCAACTTGGTTGCAGCCCAAAACCAGGAACACTAAAGCCCTGTGTGAAATCACCCTCCGACTCTTTGTCAAAAGTGCATGTAAAATGTATGTGAACTTCCCGGAGGGTGGGGGGCACCAAGACATCTCATTATGCACGTGCTGACATTTCAAAATCTGAAAATGTCTGAAGCTGGAACACATCAGGTCCCTAGCATCTCAGGGAAGGGATTCTTTCCAGGTAGGGACTATTTTCACCCTCAGTCCTTTGATGCGGCTCTCTAAAGCATGTTTCCATATTTATACACATAAGGAAAGCAACAAGTGCAACACTGGAAAAGACCTTATCCCTCTGTCTGTCTCACTCACACACACACAGCACAGGAAAAGTCTCTAGGCGAGGCTAAAACATTATCAATAATAACATTTAAGTATTCCACAAAAAAGGTGGAATACTGGAGCTTAGAAAGTAAATGTGGAACACTAGCACTAAGAAATGAGTAACTGAGGGTAAATTAATTAACAATTTATATTTTGTTACCAGTTTGTCATTTGGTATCTTAAACATTATAAGGCCCTCTTAAACATTAAGAGGTGTCTCCATGGTTACCAAAGCCACACGTGAAACCCTGCAGGAGCACTGATGCACAGGTAAACGAGCACTTCATGAAAGTGGGAGCCTGTGACGAGTACTGATCTACAGAGAAGGAAAACGGATACTATTGCTTTTGGAGAGTTTAATCAAACTGATTAATGAAGTTTGGTTCCTAGAAATTAATTTTGTAAAACGTATGCACAGAATGTACACTCTTTATTAATGCTAGATACACAATTAATCTACACTAGTACTTAAAAGAATGACTAAGATGACAACTTATTATCTTTAAAAGTCAGGCCATCAAAAAGGAACTCATTTAAGAGTCCTGAGTACCTAGTATTTTCCATTCATGAAATAGAAATAAAACTCAAATTAGACTAGAACTTCCTATCACAACAATCTCATGTTTTCCAGGCAAAATTCTTTCGTAAGGTAAATGACATACAGCATTTACAGTATTGAGTTGGTATCTCTGGATCACCGCCACAAAAGGAATATCACTTTAAACTGTCTGGTTCATTGAAAGAATGTTTTGCTTTACAAATTTAACAATGAAAACCTGTGATTTAATCCTAACCAGAGCAAGAGTTGAATAAAAAAACATGAACAACGCAGTCTATACTGAGAGATTTCTTCACAGCTATCTTTGCAGGCATGGTACTTACGGCAGTCTTATCAAATTCAGCCTCAGATGACGTTGGTGACAGAGGACTTACGGGGCTCAAAGATGGAGAGCTCTCGGCACTGGAGACATACTCAGGGTCAGGCACATACAGAACCTCCAAGAAAATGTCATATAAACATTCAGTTAAACTGTGATGTTAGTAATCAAAACATTGCCGCAAGCAGCAAGCCCCATTAAAACACTCTTCAGTAATAAATGGAAAAAATAAAAATTTTTATTTTGTAATAATATTTATTACCATAATAGGCCTAATAGAGCAAAAAAAGAGCATATTCAAAATTAACTGAGACACATTTGATAAGACATACTGCCAAGAGATGGTAGGAGAAGCAACAGTTCTCAAACACTAGACCCTCTTGTTTTGGAGACAAATAGGCAAGTTAAAATTTAAAATTTAAAATGCCATTTTACTTCTAGGAATTTACCCAGAGAAAAGCATGCATATAAATGTAAACAGAGAAGTTATCATAGTGTTCACTACAACAATGTTAATACTAGCAGGAGTAGAAATGCCCTAAAGTTTACAGCAACTAGCTATCTATGAAAATAGCAACACGATGCAACTTATGTACACAAGAAAAAGTGTTGTGCTTAAATGGAACATTTTCAAAGTTAAATTTAGAATAAAGAAGCAAACAAACAAAATTCAAAATAGTGCACAATATTTCTGAAAGTAAATGACAGTAGAGTAGGTGACCTCATAATGTCTGTTTCTGGAAAAGAAATTACAAGTTTGAAATGGAAGGATAACTTACTTTTAAAGTGTTGAAATTTTTAAACATGTATCGGTTACATAATACTGCTCTGAATATTTTTTGAAACTCTAAAGCAACAGCTTATGTGAAAAGTCAACTTACAATTAGACACAGTTAACTTGCATTCATAGAGCCAGTATTTCCAAAGCATACATAAAATTATTCCTAAATCATCTGCATTATTAACTATATGTAATGCATACTTTCTGCTTAATTATTTTAACCATCAACACATTTAAACAAAGATAATACCTGTCCAGTCACGACTGATCGGCAGAATAACTTATTTAACTGAACAAGTTCATTGGGTGTTGTATCAAATTTCAGGGCTATGCTATTCAAGGAATCTCTTGATTCGACCTATTTAAAAGAAAGAATGAACTATTTTAATTTGTTAAAACAGAAAACTAAATTATAAAATTTAATGACCATCTATGTAAAATTTAATATATCTGGAAAGCAATCTTATATTTGATGAATAAAAAATATTTTCATTTTTGGAGATAACTGTTAAGAAATACTGTGTTTTGTTAACAAATGACCTTGACCTATGACACAGAGCACATTTTATCACAATATATGTGGGTCTCTAAGCTATTTCAAAATATATAACACATAAAATTTTTACTTTATAAAGGCATTAACATAATACAGTATTCCTAAATAGTTTATGGAACATAAACATTAGTATGAGAAACATACTGATGTTACTTCAGTGCAGTATACCTGTATTAAATTCAAAATACTATTTCTAATAATCTTTATGTATATATTCTGCCATATATGTTTGTACATCAGAAAAGTATTTGAATCATGAGTTCTGTTCCTGAATCACTAACATATATAATCTGTTCCTGAATCATTAATACAATCTCATAATCACATTTATAGTGATTTTAGGAAATAGAATTTTGTCAATTATCCCAAAAAGAAAAAGCCATTTGATCAATCACTGTTTTCCTTGGGGTCTGTCCTCTTTATCCAAGGCCTTATATTAGCTCCAAAGAAGAGAACTAAGTTCACCTACATGGCTTTAGCTTTTGAAGAACGAACATCTCTGATGGAAAGTAGACAGAAGGTCGTTTAACAGACGAAGTGCAACCCACAACAGATCCATGAGACAGCAGCAGCCCTAAGTATGGGTCAGTATGTGCTCCAAATGTCAAGGAAAGGCCTCACAGAAAAGACTTAAGGTGAGTTCTGAACAGGGGGAAACAATTTGAGAAGAGAGAAGGTAAAAAAAAGTTTCAAAGTAACGATAATATAAGGCGAGGAGACATAAAAATGCAAAATGCTCCTGGGATACCATCTCTTCCTCAACCACCCATCACGAAGTACAGATCTCAAGGACAGTGAATAACTGGTGTAAAGGACAGGGCTGAAAGGCATTTAGAATTATGTTGTAGAAGAGAAGACTCAGAAATCAGGAAAAGCAGGCATGTGGGAATGGTGGGTAAAAATACAATAAATGTACATATTTTCTCTAATGGTTCTGAAAAACCAAATTTATCCCAAACATTGAAGTAATAACCTAGTTCTGCTTCTTTCTATCTGTGCAAACTCCTTCATTTACATAATATGATCCTCTATCATCTACTTTACTAAGATAATATATAGTCTATATTAATTTGTAGTAATATACGAGTTTTCAAAATACATGCTTTTAAATATATTCTCACAGTGACAACATAATTTAAAAATCAAGCTATAAAGCATGAGAATTGGACAGCTTTAGTTGTACCTTTTGATGACGTATAGGCAACAGGTTCAAGATCAATGGGACAAAAGAATACATGCCTAAAAACCAAAATGACACTCCTGTAGCCCATTATTTTTTATGGTACAGAATGTGACAAAAAGAGATGAAGGCAGAGATTTCCAACCAAGGTTCAACAGCAAGCATCCATAGATGGAAGGGAACTGTGACTCAGGAGAGTAACCAACGCTGACTCTAAAACTTCCATCCTGGATGAGGAACACACTGAATGAAAATAAAGAAATGCAGCACTGCAGAAGGATATAGAAAGAGGAGGTCTTCTATAATTTGTCAAACATAAGTGACAGTAGGAAATGTAAGACTCTTGATAGGTAACAACAGAAAAGCATCTGGCCTCATTCTATATGGTTGATGAAGTTCTTAAGCTCTTTAAATGACAGAATCAACATCAGCAGAAAAGTGAAAAGAAACAAGGGGCCACTCACATGTGAAACCCAGGACAGAAGAGCAGCCAGCAACGCAGATGGAAGATACAATCAAAACGATAGCAAGAAGACAGGACAGTAAAGTACAGTGACAGTAAAGTGGAGCACAGTTAGTTTCAAGAATAAAGCAGGCTTCTGGAAAGAGAGAACAGATACAGGAGGAGAGGATATACTTGAAGAATGTTGATAATTTTTCTAAAATTTATAAATGATCTGATTACTAAGGTTTAAGAAACATAACCATCAATATCATGTCTAAATCTAGGCTAATCACAGTGGCACTGCAGAACTATAAAGACAGAAGAAAACTTAAAAGCATCCTAAGGAAAAAAAGACTGCCTAAAAATGAAAAAAAAAAAAAAAAAAAAAAAAAAAAACAGGGCAAAAGAAGAACACAAGACAACAGATTACTATTCAAAATGCTGGTAGAAAAATAACAGTCAACCGACAAATCTACAGCCAGCTAGACAGCCAAGAAGGAGGACGCAAGGAAAATTTTGAGATGTAATCTGATTTTCCAGTTATGAATCCTCACGAAGGAATACAACCTTGAGAAGAAAGTAAAATGAGAAGGAATGAAGGATGTGTAGGAAGTAAAACCATGTACTGGGTCTGACAACAGTAAGGATGTTTTAGTGGAAAGACACAGGAATCTTGGTTAATAAGGAAGTAGTACCAGATAGCAGTTTTAAGATTCATTTCTGATTCGCACTCACAGTGATTTCACTTTGTACAATTAGGCAGTATATACGCACATATATATAAATTTAAGGTTATATATACTTATAGTACATTCATATTCGTATCTTAAGGTTACAGAATATTTGTACTATAGTTAAGCGCTCTGGAAACATATTTGAGCTAGATCATAAATATTTTAGAGGAAATAAACTTGGAGAGTATATTGTTTTAAGAGAAATATATTTGTCCTAAGTAAAAAGTCATGTTATTTAAAGATGATACATGAATTGTTCATAAATCTTGTGCATCTTAGAGCTAAAGTAAGGCCAGATTATAAAATGGTATCGTGCCTAGTTTTAGAAATGTGTTGCTTTTAGAATTTGGCATATGGAGTAAAAGAATAAAAACTGAAAAATGAAAGTCCAAATAAAGACCTCTTAGAAGATTCTAGTCAATATCTGATTGAACTCACGACCGCCTGCTTGCAAGGTAGGTGCTTATGCCGCTAAGCTAAATCCCCAGCCCCAAAACAGTGTTTCTTAATTTAACTTTGATTTTGCTATAGATAACAGAAGTTTTACTGAAGTGCAATGAAATAATGGTAAATTCCTGAATTCAAAACTCTAAATCTTTGCAATCATGCTCACATATACAAACAATTGTATTTTATACCTTAGGCCTATAATCTTATACCTTAATAAATGCTAAAGAATATATCAAATTATATTGTTGAATCTTTTACAACGTGAACTTATTTTCTCAACTTTTCAACTATGTAGGCATAAACATAAGCAAGTAAGTTTATAATATACCTTAAAATAAGGTTTTTTATAGTAAATGTTTAATACCAGACCTTTTCAAAATACTTAAAATCAACAATCAATTATGTAGTACATGAAAAGAATCTAACTCAAAATTTTGAAAATTTGTTCTACTTTAAGGATTTATGGAAAATAAGAATGATACTAGCGCCAGGGATTTAGCTCAGTGCCATAAGCACCTGCCCGGCAAGGGCAAGGTCACCAAGTTCAAAAAAAAAAAAAATGATACTAGAACATTTAATGATTATTGCTAAATCCATGTATAAAATAGTACTTTCTCCCTAACACAGCTATAATGTTAGAAAAACACAAAATAACAAAATTTTGCTCAAGTTATTGTTCTACGTTAAGATTCCCTAAATCAACACTGTTTACATTCACCCAAATCAACCACACGTCACACACAGTCAGCTTCGCACTTGGTCCCCGTGGCCTGACACAGGAGGTCACTCCTGGAACACAGAAGAAGCTTCCTTCCCAGGACTGATGAGGCTAAGCCAACCCATCTTCCCAGCATCCCCTCTGCCACTAGCACTAGCATCAACACTGCTGCCAACATAATGCAAACTATATTTCCAACAAAGCAAGTATTTTCCTGAAAGCCTGACTGGGTAAGAATGAGTGTCGTAGAGGAACTTCCACTCTGAGACTTCACTCTCAGGGAAGTCCTGCTGATGGTAAACTTGCTGGAATAACTATCGCTGTAGTTCATAGTAAAATTTCTCATTAAGGAAAAAAAAGACTAACTGCAATTCCAGTCTTTAGGATTATTAACGTTAAAAGTTACCCAAAGGGAGCACAGATTTTTAAAAGAAGTCAATTAACAATTCTTTCCTTATCTGTAGTATAGATGGATCCTTAAATAATTATAAATACAAGCTGTTTCTTCAAAAGCAAATAACTTACAGTGTATTCAATAGTCCCTTTAGGCTTCTGGAAGGACATTCGTCTCCCATCTTTCTTGTCTAAGTTCTTCTTTTGGCCAGTGTCTGAAAAAAAAAGGCAGATTCCTATGAATTTCATTTTCCTTTCTGAGTAATGTCAAGGCCCACTGAGGATTAAATTGCTGGGCAGGTATCTAATACGCAGTGTGGCTCATGGGATTCCAGTAGCTTTGGGGAAAAATAAAACCAACTGTCAAAATAGGAATGGTTGCTCCTTCCCACTTGTGAGAGAAACTGACCGATATGAACAATTAAAAGTTAATTCAAAACACAACTCTCAATAGAAGTTATTAAAAACTAAATTACAGAGCATTTCTTTCCACATATTTAATCTGATTATAATAAAAGATTTTTGAAGACATGTTTTTAATCCTATATTTGAAGATACATTATTATTATTAACCAGTCTGACAAACGTACTAGTTCTCAGAGGAGAAAACTATTTCTACAAATCACAAAGACACAGTTTTCTTTGTGATATAATCCAATCTTCCAAATTTACATACCATGAAAGTAAATTAAGATCTATTATACACAAACATATTTATCTCACCTGTAATCCTAACATTCTGGGAGTCTGAGGCACCTTGCTAGCTAGGGCACTGCTTACCAAGACCCTGTCTCAAAGTTAAAAATAATAAAAGGTATGGGGATATAGCTTAGTGCAACGACCCTGCGTTTAATTCCCAACTGCCCAAAACAAACAGAAAACCTTTTTTTAATTCCCAATTATGTGCATGATTTTTGGCATCTGCTCATCAAGACATTTCATTTGAATATTTCATTATCATAAACATTAAGCTACTTGTTTAGTTTAAATTTTTCATTTGGGTAACCCCATCTATATGTTAAGTAATAATGAACTATACTGCATTGATAAAATAACACTCCTGCTGAGTATTGGGACTCCTATGTAAACATTTTTAAATTATTAAAATGAAAATGTTCTAAAAACTAAAACTTAATAAGGTAGCAAATAAGAAAAAAATGGTGTATTTATCCATGATTTAAAACTATAGCTTTAAAAAAATTAGTTCTACTAAAGCTCAAATAACCTACAAAATGTGTGTTCCATTGTTTTCCATCTTCCCTGAACTGACATTTATACCACATTACAGGTAATTTCTATGTGCCGACCTCACTTCCACTGTGAGAGTAATAGTTTTAATGAAGAATTCGTATGCCTGAATCTCAGTGAAAAGCCAAAAATGCTTAAAAGACTGTTCTAAAACCTGCTGACCATCTAGTCTCTGTGACTAATTACACAGCATCTTCACAAATCCAAAACATCTGCATGGTTTTTAAATCACTGTATGTGTTTCCAATCTTCACTAAACTGTACCCTCCTAGCCAGTGCCTTACAGGTTCTACAGTTTCCATTCTGTGCCTAAGGAAGGACAGACACAAGAAAAGGACCCAAGAAAGTCAAAGAGTGTTCTGAAACCACCACCTCACCTGCACCTGGACTCCCATAATCCTTATGAACTGCCCTTAAATTTCTATACAGAGCACGACTGAGAATTAGCGCATTGTTTTGCATCTGCTTATCAAGACACTGATAAGCTATAGTTCACACTACTAGAGGGGAAAAGTGTGTGTATATACACACAGACCTTTGCATCCTAAACACTTAAAGGATTCTTTAAAAAGAAAGGATGATTAAAGAAAAAGATTTAAAAATGGAAAAAGACAGATAATTCACAAGAGATTGTAAAAATGACCCTTCAATACATTAAAAGATATTCAGTCACAGAGCAGTGCATATTTAAACCACGCGATTAGTCTCGTAAAAATTCAAATGTTGAGCACACACAGTTTGGCACATTTCTGGTGAGAATATAAAATGGTACAATTCTTATGAGGAACGTTACTTTTGCTTATTAGAATGCTCTGGGTTTTTTTTTTCCTCCACTGAATGCTTACATTTAAAATTCTTTGTTGTTGTTGTTTTTGTTTTTTGAGACAGGGTCTCACTTCGTAATTTAGGCTGACCTTGAACTCTATGTAACCCAGATGTAATCTATGTGTAGATTCTCTTGCCTCAGTCTGCTGAGTATTGGGATTAGACGCATGCACCATCATGCCTGGCTAAATTTAACATTCTTATCGGATGAGAAAATAAAATATTAAACTATTTTAAAGTACACTGAAAGTAGTAATTTATTTCTATTATTTCATAAATAGTAGAGAGAGCTAAAAATACTTTCTATATTTTACAACTTAAACTTCTGAGGCACTGCAAAGGACAATTACAGACTGCTTTTAACTAACAGTATTTCTCTGCTCTGTTGATTTCTGTAGTTACTGTTGGTCACATTTACTTTGTCTAATACAGGTTGACTTACCCTTTCTAAAGTACTTAGAGCCAGAACAGTTCAGAGTTTACATTTTGTCAGGTACAGAAATATTTGTATCAAAGCTCAAAAATTTTTGGATATTGGAACATTATAGAGTTTGGATTTTTTGGAGTACTTTTTCAAACCATGTTTCACAATATCTGCAAGATTCACTGAACATTTCACCATAAACAGTTTGCAATTACTTTATCACTTTTAAAAGCTCACCAAAGAATGTAGTTCGAGGCAATAAAATAATATTGCAACCTTATAAATTTTAAAATTCTAAACTGACATTTACTTTAATTAAAAACTGTAAAATATTTGGTAATAATTTTATGAATTATAAAACCGTTTAAAAATTACCGGTATTTATAATTATTCACAACTGCCAGATTACAAATGAATGAACTGTTTTTTCTTTTACTCTGAAAATACAATCACATCATCACTAACCATATCTGAGACTTGAACGTAACCACCATTGTTAGCTAGCAATGGCTCTCCCCTAATAACTTTAGCTTTAAAAACAGACGCCAGCAAATAGGAATCGAGATTGAGAATACAGAGAATAGCCCTGTTCTTCCTTACAGACTGACTTAAGCTTAGAAATACTTTGTGTAGGCTTACTTGTGGCTTATTTACTAATATAAATGAGTATTACGTGTCTAGGACTTGCCACGCATGGTTCTAAGTACTTCACATCCCTATTTCAGGGAATGCGCTGACTCCGTTAAGCAGGCATCATTCCATCCTTATTTTACAACCAAGGAAACAGGCACAGAAAAGCAGCGCAATTAAAGAGAAGAGCAAGGATTCATTCTGCCCACTGACTCTGCCTGGAGACCTTCTTTATAACCAACCTGGGGTATATTATTGGCATCTGGTGAGTTAGTTAAACCCATGGCTACTGCTAAACACTTCCACATATATCTCCCTCTCTGGGAAGCTAAATTTGCTGACTGCTGTTCAAACTTACTTTTGTTTGCTTCTTAAATTAGTTATGGAGACAAAATCTCCTACTATAAGTGGGGTTATTTGGTTCTTTGAGACTGTTTCTAGGTTATCTTCCTGATGAACTGATTTTTTTTCTGTCTTTTTGAGACAGAGTCTCACTACGCAGTTCAGGCTGGCCTAGTTTACTGGGTAGCCCAGGCTGGTGTCAAACTTGCAAGGATCCTCCTGTCTCAACCTCCTGAGTGCTGAGATTATAGGCATCCACCACCACACCCAGCTTGAACTGGATCTCTTTTTTAGAATACTTTTTGCCTTAAAAGTCTACTACTAGCTGGGCGTAGTGGTGCATCCCTATTATCCCTGTACTTGGCAGACTAAAGTAGAGGATGCCACACAATTGAGGCCAGCCTGGGCTACACAGTCAGTTCAAGGCCACCCTGGACTACATAGCAAGACCCTGTGTCCAAAAAAAGTCCACTTGGTCTGATGTTAATGCACTGTCTTTCCATCAACTCGCACCTGCTTTTCTCCTCTCACTTTTCTCTACCTGTGTGCGTCGGTGTGCCTCGAAGCAGGGTGCCTTTGTCTACTTTTCTACTGTCTCCTTTAGTCTTCTTTCTCAACTTGTTCGGATTGTAACTGACTCATTTTCCATTTCATTGCCATTAATGCAAAAGTTATATGTGCTAACAATTCTAGTGGCCATCCTGGAGATGACAGCTTGACTTACTGCCTTATCTAGAACCATTTAATATTAAGCAGCTTTTTAACCACTTCCAGATGACACGAGAATGTTGAAAACTATCACTGATATGCAATATTTTGTTATATATTTTAATTACATATATGTATACACAATCATAAGAAATTAAGACAACATTCATTTAGTTTTGTACTCATTTTTATTGTATTTCTGGGCAATTTCAGGCAACAAAATTCAGGATAACTAGACTTTTTAACAGTTTAATGATTAATTTTCACTTTGTTTCTACTTTTTCTGCTAGAAAATCTGTGGCATTCTTCAAGGGACATCATTCAAAGGAATGGGATTATTTATTCCAACTTTAAGATGAGATTTTCCACTAGGGGCTCATATGAATGCATGAATCTATTAATGACAGACCTTCTGCAGCTTGAGTTTTTAGCTATTATCTATTTAATGCAGCTGTCCTATTTTTTCTTTTTCTTCAGGGAGTCAAATATATGCACATTAGAATTTCTCGTTGCACTGTATATGGAACCCTCTCTTCTATTACTCATTCTTTTGAGACCATTAATTTTGGCTATTTTCTTTTGACTTATCTTTTAGTGCTTTAATTCCTTCTGTGCTGTCTAATTTGCTGTTAAATCTACCCAGTAAGGTCCTAATTGCAGGGATTATACTGTTCAGTTCTAGAATAGTTTGTTTTTCTTTTTTTTTATACTTTTTATCTCTCTAAAATATTCTAATTAGCTGAAAATTCTCCACATAGCTATTTAAAATCAGAAAACCACAGTATCTACAGTGCCTGTGGGTCTGATTCTATTCTGTTTTTTCTGAAATCTTGTCTTGCCACGTATCTAATTACACTGAGTGATGATCTTGTTAATGCAGATACTGAAACTATAATTTGAACCAGAACTATCATTCTAGAAGAGGACACCCTGGCCACTCAGTTTTCCCAAGAATGTGCATCTTTTTTTCTGGAAACCAAAGCCAGTACCCTGAACAGGGCATGCATGCACCCTATCTTTGACCCATACCTTCAGCCA